AAGTACTTTTTAATGAAATTTAGATTGGTTTTGAGTTTGCTAAGTGTTTTACATAGCACTAATATAACACCTGCTTTGTCCAAATCTGGCTGAGCTCCAGTATTGGAATAATGATCATCACTTGTTTGCTCTGTATTCTTTGTATTCCTGAGATCATTGGCTGTTTAAATTGAAGGTGCCCAACACAATTATTATTTTATAACAAAGGAACTAAAGGATTCAGAGGGGAAATGGGGCAGGAGTGAGGACAAAAAGGGAGGAACACAGCATGGATGGCACAAAACAGGTACAAAATTATAAGTATTAATATGAGGGTGATCTTTGATTCTCCATGTTCCAGTTCAGATGTGACAGCATAATGACAGTATCTCATTATGTTATCATGCTGTTTAATCTAATCTTCCAACATACATTACAGCATAACACTATGAAAGCTTATCCAGGAAAAATTAATTTGCCTTACAGATTGGGGAGTATGGAAATAAGGCACCCTCTATTTTCTCTTTTGCATTATTGACATACCTTCTAGTAATTGTTCCTCTGAAAGAGATTAAAGAGGATGAAGGTTAAAACTCAGAAACAGACAAGGTAAATACATTAAGTAAGGTACAAAGATCTGCTTTATTTACAATGACTACTAAATGTTTGGTTTGCTTTTTTCCCTAAATTGAGGGGTTTTTCTCTGGTATAAAATAAATACATAAATAAATGGGGGAAAAAACCCTAAAATTAAATTAATGAAGCTAAATTCTAATATTTGAGTTCAGAAAAATCTTCTTTTCTCTAGCTTTTTATCTCTGGTGGCATAAACTACATTTCAACTGGAGGCATTACTTGAACATTTCATCTCTTCAAAGGACAAGTAGCAGTCAGTAAGAAGCTATCAGGTAAGAATAAGCAATCAGTAAGAATACAAGCTATCAGGAAATTGTGTGAAAATCATTTTACAAGACAATTGGTGTTATAAATACTGGGTGAAAGGAACTGGGGATATTCCAGAAAGCCCACACGGATGAAAGCTTTCTTAACCCACATGAAATCTTGATAATGCAATAATGAGTATTTTAAAAGGATAAGTCTAATTCCCCTATCTGGTGCAATAAAGACTGTATACAGCTAATCAGCTTTGCCCTTTCAATTAAACTCGTCCAGGACGTTCTATGTAGTCAGCACCCTGAATGAGTCATTAAAATTCTCGTTCTGTAAGAGTTGTGTGCAGTGCACCGTTGTTTCTAAATTCCATTAAATCCAAACGGTCTTTATCGCCTCATGACCACTGTGACTTCAATCAGCCAATTTAATTACCTTACAAAATTGTCAGCAGAAGCAGCAAAGAAAAACAGGAAGGGTTGTGACGTTATCAAATTGAAATCTTCCTCTGTGCTGTTTAATCTAAGACCAGTCAATAACAATGCTTCTCACCTCCTTACTGCCTTCCCGAGGCTCTTAACCTTACTCTTCTTTCAAAGATTCCTCTTGTTGTTTGTAAGACTGATTTTGAATGCATCTTTGTGACGATGTTAACAGATATTGAAAGATTCTTGTCAGTTGGCAGTAAATTTTTCATTGGCATTGAATGCTGGACTTGCCAAGACACGGACCCCCGAGGGCTACCATGAGAGTTTGGCTTGCAGATTTTCATCACACTCTTAATCTGAAGGCAGACTGCCTTCCCCATTCAAACAAGATATGTACATTTCTTTTGTTTCTCTCAAAGAGAGGTAGAAACCTTACCCGCTCCCACTAAAAGGATATCAATGCAAAATCCAAGGGAAAGAAAGTACACATCCAGGAGGGTTAATGCAACTCCCTTAAGAAAACTCCACTCGATTACCCAGCAGGCATTTTCCACTTGACCTCTTGTCTCATACACATCTGCACATCTACACTGCTGTGCCATGACTTCGCTGGTTTTAATTGCCACAATTTTAAAATGGTCTCCTGAATCCCAGAACCACGTGTTTTGACACCCACTGTCACCTCCACAGGCAGTGGATGCAGTGAGACAACCTCTTCTCTGGTTTTGCCACACTCGAGCTCCTAAAAACAATTATATGGAGATAAACTCAATCTGTTTGAGACAAGGAGCTCAGCTAAGAACTGTCAGGTCACATGAAAGCCATACTAAATCTCCACAGAGGAAGATTTAAACGTCTGGCAATTCCCATCTGGGGGTACCCAGAAAGGAGTTGAAAAATGAGGGAGATTTTTCCTAAATCACAAAGAGTATATTATTTTATAATATTTTTTTTGCTATTATTATTTGATGTAGGGTAATAGGAAAGGGCTAGCCTTCATGAGGACTTGATGTAGTATTTTTTAGAAAAAAATATTTTAAAAATAGTCACTAGTAAGAAATGCTTCTGGTGAGAGTTCAAAACTCTTCCTTTTTCCTTTGAAAAGTTTTTCCTGTCTCTTTCTTGACTTTCTTTTGCTTTTAAGCTGGAAAAAGCCACATGCACGCACACACCCTTCCTTTGTAGCTCATTGTAACACAAAACATTCAGCTCCCTCTCTCATCTGCTTCAAGTCAGGCAACTCCAAAGCACCAAAAAGTCAAAACTACAGGTATATGCCTCTACTTGTCTTTACTCTTCTTGAATGTCCTGAAGAAAATAAAACATCACACAAAGTGGGTTAAAACTTATCAGGTAAGTGAGCACCCTGCAGTGAAGATCTGCAGTCTTCCACCACATTTCCAGGAATAATGAGAGCAAATACAGCGGCCAAACCTCTTTCACCTTCCTGTCACAGGTCTCTCTTCACACCTTTACTGTAGGAAAGAGAACTGCTCACAGTAGTAGAGACAAGGCCGGAAACGGGCAATTTAAATTTTAAAAAGGACATTTTATAACGCTCCAGACTTCAAAGCGCTGACAATCAAGTTCCATATAGTGGTAGTAGGTGGGAAATAAATGGGGTTTAAATAGCCCAAGCTCTTACTGCCTTGGGCAAGACAAGGGGTGGGTTTCTAAAAACACAGGTGAGTAATTACAGGTGTTTGACAGCTCTGAATGGGCTTGTTAATTCTGCCTTTCGGGGACAAGGTTGAGATGCCTTCAGGGGTAAAGGCAGATCTAAGAAAACAGCCCGACGTGCCCTGCCCCATGTCATGGGCAGAGAGGCCGATCGGCTGGGCTCTGGATCCGCCGAGTTCTCTGGAATTTCTTGGGAGCCGCTGCCATAGGTCTGAGTTTACACAGGGGCAGTGAATCGGAAAGCTGAGAAATGTGATCCCCGAGAACGGTGCCGGTGGTCACGTATTTTGGCTTTTGTGCGGTGCCAAGTGATAAGGAAAAGGTTTCCATCACACTTAGCACACCGGAGTGACAAATATTGCTGCTGCTTTTCTCCCTCCTCAAGGTAGGACTTATCCTTTTATCCGCATCAGTGATTTAGGGCTGTTCCCATCTGACACCCTCGAGTACACATATAGAAAACCTCACCTTCAGCCTTCCCTGGGCTCGCTTGTAGGAAACTGTTCAGAAAGGGCAAGGGAGGGAGCTTGGTCGCATGCCCATGTGGCATTCAGGAAGGGCACCTGGTGGGATGCCCGAGTATCACGTTGCCAAACTCCAGCAGCAGCAACAGGCAGGTGTCCAGATGCCTAAGCAAGTGTCACTGGGGAGGGAACGGTGCCATCACACCAGCCTCTCTCCGTGTTTGCTCCATAAGGTACAGACCTTATAATATAGAAATAACCTCCCGAATGTGAGAAATAACTCAGGAGGTTCGACTTCCCTGTGTGGTTGCTAGAAGGTAGCTTTAGAGAGAGAGGAAGGGAGAGAGAGAAAGGACATGCTGGCTAGTCCCAACAATGAGAGGAGCCGTGGGAAGGACAATGCGAATCCATGGTGGCTAATTTGCACTGGAGGAATGAGGGGGCTGCAGCTCTGGCAGGCTTCAAGCTCTCCCCTGTTGCCATAGCACTGCTGGCTGAGGAAGAAGAGCGGGGGCTGGCAGGCTGCCTTCTGGAGGGAATCTCCTCAGATCTCGCTTCTCCTCGGGAAGGACTCCACGGCATCCCGTCGTCCTGGTCGCAAGGACATCCCAAAGGGACTGATAGCACGGGAACACAGAGGGGGCGGTAGGGAATTCCCCCTCAAAAATAACCAGCTTTTCCAGAGCTCAATCCCTGCTCCCTCCCTCCACCCTGCTATGCCCTACGCAGAGAGAGATGTCAGCCTTTGGAGAAGCCGTGGAAGTTCTCTCTTGGTCACAGACAGAGTGAGTTAGCCTGGACTAAGCTAAATCCAGACTCCTTTAGAACAGAAATGTGCAACAGGCCCGGATAAGCAAGGCAAAAGTCTTTCTGCTTTTTCACGTCTAACATTCTCCACGACTTAATGTTCAGTGATGCTTTGGCGACAATTCTTTCAAAGACAGGGAAAAGCAGGCAGAGATGCAGAAACTGATTTCTACTTCGCTGCTACAGTGGAGTGAGCACAACTCGTTGGCCAGCTGTGTGACCAGAAGGCAGCTGGGAAGGGAAGTTAGCCCAGTAAAACATATGCATGCACCACCATGTCACTGGGTAACAGAGACCCCCTGCATCACCTTTCAGCCTCGCGATTATTTATTGCTCTAACGCTTGCCAAAGCGCTACTCTCTAGGGCTGTCTCTAGAGCTACACCGGACTGAAGTTCAGAGGGAATGTCGCTCTAAAGGAAAGTCCACCTCTTGCTAGTGCTGTGACCAGGAATATGTTTGTTTACATAGCTATACATGAAAGTAACTCAGGCTCCTAGAGACAGACTCTCGGCCCCGTGGAACGACAGACAGCCGGCCGGTGCCACATTACAGGCATCCTAAGCACTAAATTCACAGCAATGATTACGGATCAGACTGATTGTAAAATAGACCCTCACAATGATATACGGGCCCGTTTAGCCATATCCAAAGAAACAGACATTCCTGAGGACGGTTGCTAAGAGCAACGTGCCATAAGCACCACCTTTAGACCAGATGGAAGCAGAAAAAAAGTGCTGCTAGGAATTCAGAGACTGGTAACAGCCTAGTGACTTTTTAATCATTACTCACCCTCCCCTCCATATAAAACTGTGTGCGGGGGTGCTGATTTAAATTAAAATAGATACAAACCAAGGCATTATTCCCAGGCAAAGGCAAGAGATTTCTGTGCCCCATAGAAATGGATGCAGCAGCTGTCACAGTTTATCGCGGACAGCGGGAATGCGGGAGATCCGCTCTTCCGCCGTCCACCCGTGCTGTCGGCAGGCACAAAGAATGCTGCTTGTATGGGGGAGCAATTGTCAGCCTGTCCCTTTCTGGCCGCGGCTCGCCCGCGGTACCCGGGCGACCAGGAGGTTTGTGATGCGGGGCTCCCATCGCATTTCGCCCCAGACTCGCACCGAAGGACATCCCCGCCCGCACAGATCCCTTCGGACCTGGTTTCTGAACTTTCCGTCCTGCCTTTCTTTACTTCAAAACTTCTGTGGAGGATGCAGCGGCTGGAATTTGTGCCTCGCTTGCTTGCTTAGACACACGAACATGCGCGCTTGCACAGGCAGAGCTCTTAAGGTTAGTGCCCTGGTCCAGCTGGGATAGCCTTTAAACTCTAAACCCTCTCTATTCTTAAAATGTCATTCTGATCTTCTTTTTTTTTTTTTTTCCTTTCTTTTTCGCGGGAGAGGGAGGAACTCCTACAACTTTCCTCGCATAGAAAAGCTGTGCTTTTGAAAGGTACCGCAAAGCTCTTCCCCAAACACCGTTCAAGACATAAATCATCTCTTCTCTAACCCTAAACGCCACTCAAGTGTCAAGCAAACAGACAGATACTTCAAGGGAGATCAGCCCAAAGGTCTCAAATCACAGCGTTATGCTCGCACGGGATCGGCTCACGGCGGGGGGGATCAGAGACGGGCGGCCGAAACTCAACAACTATTTGACAGGTTTTCAACTGATCAATCACCGTATTAGCCATGCTTTCCCCTACTATGGAAACAATAGAGCAAAATAATGGAAACAATTACGAGGAAGCCACACAAGCTGCGCAGAGCCTCAGGCAACCACGTTTGCCAGTCTTTTTTCTATTGTTATTATAATTATCATCACCATCGTGCCGTTACTACGGCTACAATGAGCAGCAGCGACAGAAAAAAAATCACACAGCAATTCATCCCTCCGGATGCAAAATAAAGAGGGACTTCGCTACCCGACTCCGGTAGCACGTCCCAGCTCTCCCCCAGCATCCCCTTCTGAGTCAATCCTCCGCATATCACATTCAGGCTTAAAAACACAATGAAAAAAGTGTCGGGAAATCTTACCAAATCTTAATACATGTGTGGTTCCTTGAGAATATCCAATCCACAGTAAGCAAAAAAGGAGTCTAATGGTGCATCTGAAGACTGAATTAGTTACAATATGGGAAATAATCTTCATGATGTTTCTATGCACACACGCGCTGCCTTACTTCCCCCTTCTAAGCCGTCAGGTTTCCCGGTAGGGTGAGAATGAGGATACGTAAACTGATGGCCCTCAGACACGATCACGGCATGGTCACAGAGAGCAGAGAGTCTACGCTTCCCAAACCCATTAGCAATCCCTGCATGTTCTTCATTCACTGCGCCAAGGAGCAACCTTCAACTGCAAGGAATGGTGGGACATCCATGTTAGTCAGGGGAGAATCCTTGAGAAATCCAAACACACACAGTGTCCAGCCGAGTAAACCTGGGAGGCGAGAAAGGAGGAAAATCAATAGGTAATCCAGCTCGAGAGATCGCTGAGGTACCGCCACATAGCGAGCGCCCGCCGTTTCACTGGCGAAGCTTTTGCCGTGCTCCCATTCTACTGCACTGCTGCACAGCTTCTGACGCGAAGCCAAGATTAAGTGAGAGAAATTGAGATAGCTCTTCTCTGCTTAAGGCTGCCTGCCAGACAGCCTTCCCAATTTCTATTATGCAACCGATCTGATCGCCCAGCTTTGTCGGAGGAAAAAAAAAAAAAAAACAGCTCGGTTATATTTACATGCTTCTTATTGTTATTAGTTATTCAGTTGTTCTGAACAATAGCTATAAGGGGCGGGGGGGGCGGGGAGGGGGGGGAAGTTCTGCTAGAAGGGAGAAGGGAATCGGTTGTGTGAAAATCAATTCCTGTATTTCAATAGCTGACTGCTTGGGTGGAGATCACTTTAGAGTTGTGAAATAGAAGGCTGACAACAAAGTCATGCAGGTTATCAGAGTAACGTTCAGGTTTCAGATAAGGAATAAAAATTACAATTATTAACTGTTACTAATTTTAATGCATGAAGTAGGATAAATGTTATGGCTTGTGTACTGACTGTCCCTAGGAACTTGCTCCAGACTCAGTGATAACGGAGCACCAGGCTGCTTTTGCAAGGTAACAGGAACCGGCAGCTCTGGAACCTTGTTGCATGCACAGACCTGTTTCGCTAAACTTGCTTGAAATTGCAGTGTTGCTTAAAAGACAGTAACTAGGGGATTTACTAGTTTATGATTTTCACTTTATTCTGCCACTCTCTTATTTTGCACTCTGCTTTCCTTTCCTTTTATTATGGAAATGTTGCTGTTCCTCCCTATACTATGATCTATGTAGTTTGTCATTTTGCTGTCCTCAGTGAGAACAACAGCATTTCCCAATTTGATAATGGGATACTGAGTTTATATATGAAAATGCAGCCACAGATTTTTGTTTTTGACCAGGTGTTCCAAAGAAGATAAACCCATTCTGTGGACTACTTTAGATTTTCCTTGGAAATGCAATTGTGTGTCTGCATCCACTGAAATACATTAAACCAGGACTGCCAGACTTTGCAATCTAAGTCATGATTTGCTGAACCTGCTTGAGCTTTACTTCAAACACCGAAATATAATTCCTGTATTTCCCATCAGGAAAATGAATTAGTTTTTTCCTACATTCTGCCTACAGACATCTTTTGTCTCCTTTATCCCCCTCCTTTGCTTTTCATTAACAAAGAAAATATCACTGGGAGACTTTCCCCACAGATATGTACAGAAGAACATAGAATAAACCTGACTTTACAGAAGTAAATACAAATTATGCCAAGCTAATGAGAACACTCTGTGAAATCTATCAGAAGCAGAGCACGGCAGAGGTGAGTTACAGTTTATTCTTAATTAACATCTGTGTGTTGTAGACCTGTAAATAAGTAACAGCAGCATTAGGATTATAACTTGTAGTGTTTGTGCTCTGTATCCCTAGAAGTGTTAGCAATTCTTAGTAACTTTTTATCATTTTGCCTTACTGATTTCCTCTGCATACTTTTACTTAAAACACTGTAAAATGCTGATGAAAAGAAATGTACAGCCTGCGAGAGGATTATTAAACATCATTGATTTTTTTTTTTCCTTAAGATGGAGGTATAACTGCAGTGTCAAAAATAAGTATCATGAATGGCTAGTTCTGCAGTCTAGCATGGAATTCAATCAGACGATTTGACTATTGGAGCACTTTAAAAAGAACACCTAGTATTAAAAGCAAGGATATCTAGCGACTCCTTCAGTTCATACTTAGAATATCTCCCAGCAGAAAATGCAGAGAGATGCTTTTTCTTCTATTTACTATTTCATTTATTCTCTTCTACTCCTTTCTATTTTTCATAGTCCAAGGAGAAATAAAACCAACCCACGTGAACATTGTGAAAGTTCATTGTATCCCTCCCTGCTGTTGCTGAAATAAAGAATATGATTTAGATATGTTTTTAATTGTGAATGCTCAGGTGCAGCTTGCAGTCTAACCTGATTTTTTTTACTTATTTAAGTTTGTTTTGGTGAGAAGTTTTGAAAATATTATATTCATCGTCAGGTTTAGCACATTAAACAATACATAAACTTTGGACAAAGTGACTCCTGTTGCCAGTTTGATTTTCTAGAATCTCTTGGAAAAAAAAATATACAGCTACCTGTAATCTTAGCCCAACAGAGCACCCAGCTCACGGAGGCGTTTAGAACTGGAATCATAAACCAACTTGTGGTTAATTCCTGTTACTATTAAACACTCAGCAGCCCACGCTGCAGCCCCTGGTCTGACGCCTGAGGCTCACGCCGAGTTTCCTTCCCCCCGCGCCAGCCCCCGCCGCCGGCAGCGGGCTCAGCACCGCGGACAGCGCCGGGCGCGCCCCTTCAGCACCGCGGACAGCGCTCCGGCCGCCCCCCGCTTCGGGTGTCAAAACGCCGGGGGCTTTTTACCCTTTCCAGTCGCTTCACAGTGCGGAAAGGAAATTAAAACCTGTTATCGGCTTCTTTAAGGATACATATTATGCCCTCTATTATGTTATCTAGTCAGCTATTTTATGGCATTTTATGGGTTCAGAAGTACCGATGTCCTCCTTATCTACTAGCAGACATCGCCTAATGCTGCATAAACATTCCGCCCCCTTCTTTCAAACCCTAGCTCCCACCTTGAAGAAAAGTCGTAGTTAACCCAGAAATATTTTCTCAAGAATACGAGTCCCTTATATAAAAACTTAAATCTTGCAAGACATCAGATGTTTATAACTCACTAAATATTTGGTGACTGAAGATGACTTATAGACTACATAATTGACTAAATCTTCAGTCTTCCTCACCCTAGACTCCTTTTCAGTTATTTGGACTTTAACTCCACTTCTTCTTCATGAAAAAGACCAGGATACCTTCTTGCATCCTGTAGACTGATTTCAACATGAAAACAGGTAAATATTCTTAGTGCCTTCAATATTTCTTTCCCTGTGAGATGTACAATTCAAAGTCTGGAAATCCCTAATAAAATGTCATGGTAGATAAGCTGGTCTTCTGTTTTGGGATCTTGTCACCACTGTTACACAGCTCTTTTCATATTAAAGTCTGTATGAAAATGCCCTCTACACTTCAGTGATCATCAGCTGGGAAATCTACAATTCCTTGGATATATGTTTTGATTTGTGTGGTCATCTATTGTAGACATGGTGGTAACACATCTTCAGTACACAAGGACATCTTTAATATACAGGACTCTGTTCAAGTGTAGTTGATATGAAAAATAGTAATACAACTATAGACAGGGAAAGAAGAAAATACAGTCTGAGGCCTTATATCTTTTCTGGGTAATAAAAACCTACTACAGTTTCAGCTGTGTGTCAAGTATAAATGGTGTACATTATGTACATAATGTTTCATTTGGAAAGGGGAGATATGTGATTCTGATTACCTTACTATATCAGGAGCTTTTGCCATCAGATCTAATTTTTATGCACTGTTATCATTATAAAAGTTAACCCAGTTCCAGCTAGCTGCCACCTACTGGGATGTATAGTTTTATCATGTTACTTTAGAAAGGAATGGGCTTTTATTTTCAGGTCATAGTTGTGCCTCTAAGAACAGATAGTGAGGTTTTTATATCACGTAATCTACTATTTTAACCTCTCACAACAGCAGCTGCTATAAATTTAATGTATGTACAACATATGGTCCCCCAAATGTTTCTCGGACGTTTTTCGGCAAACCCTTGCAAACGTTTCGGATTCACATGCCACCACAGTCCTCCTGCTGTTGCAATCTGGTGTGAGGAGAGCCACAGCTTACTGCAACACCTGACCAGCATCTCTAGATCTCTAGAATCAAGTAATGCAGCTTTGCTGACAAAGCAATAACACAGTTCTCCCTTCTAAAACATTTGCCAAAGTATTCAAATGAATGTTGATATTATCATTTAAAACAAATTGTGGCCCACTGGCATTTCACTCCCACCAGCTATAAAAAACCCCTTTCTCGGTCTTTCTCTGTTTGTTATTATCTCAGTCCAAATATACAACCAAGTTTCTGCTGTGCCAATGATTAATGACATTTTAAGATGATAATTAATTTTTAGATACTGCAAAGACTTGTATTCTAATTAATGAAGTGAGTGTGCAATAGACTTTCTTGTTCAGGCACTTTTGAGTATCACAGCAATGCACTTTCCTAGCAAGTTTTAAGCAGCAAAAACTAATACTTTTGACATGATCTACAGATCAGCCTTTGGTCCCTTCAGCTTCCTTCGGGACTGGGGAAGCTGTGCAAGATTTTTGGAGGAAACTGATGATGCTTTATGCTTTTCCTGCTGTACTCCCCCAAAAGTTTCTAATGAGAATATGAAGAGAGGTTTCCATTACAATCTATTCATTCCTTCTCAGTGCACACAATGCTCTTGCTATCATGCCTGCACTCCGTAGGCAGGAATGTCTCTTGCTTTCCAGAGAGTGTCAGCGCCCTGGCTACTTTAGCGATGGATGCTTACCCAAAGAATGCTGATTTTGCTCAGAAATAAATTACAGGGCTGCCGATAAGCCGAAAGG